AGGGGGACGGGTATATACATATATAATGAGTGAGATGTGCACCATCTGGGGGATGGTCATTCTGGAGACTCAGACTTGTGGGGGGATGGGGTAAATGGGCATTTATTGAAACCTTAATATTTGTACCTCCATAATATGCCGAAATAAAAAAATAAAAAGAAACAAAACTGAAACAAAAGAAACAAAACTAGACATATACTTAGAGAAAATAACTTGGAGATAAAGTTCCTTAAGTCTACTTGGATTTATCACCAAAATTCTCTCAGTTACTTTCTATAAGGACTGGAACATACCAACACTTGCCTCCACCTTTCTATTACCATTGCCAATACTAATCAATTCATTATCATTTTAGTTCTTCAACATCTTTGCTCAGGAAATCACCTACTTTTCCAAATCATCAAATCCCCTTTGATAGTATTTGTAACATGTTCCCAAAAGAAATGCATGTATTCTAGAAAAGAATATTTTATTTTAGAGAGGTTTTAGATTTACAAGAAAGTGGCAAGGAAAGTAGAAAGTTTCCATGTATCCTACACATAGTTTCCCCAACTGTTAATCTCTTACATGACTATGGTGTACTTTTCTCAAAAAAAGTAATATAGCTATATTACTATTATATAAAGTACATACCTTATACAGATCTTCTTGGTTTTTAATCTACTTTTTTTATGTGCCATGATCCCATCTAAGATACCATATTACATTTTTTTCACCATATCTTTTAAGCTCCTCTTGGCTGTGACAGTTTCTCAGATTTTTCTTGTTTTTCATGACCTTGACAGTTTTGAGAAGTACTTTTGGGCATTTTTTAGACTATCCCCCAGTTTGGGTTTGTCTAATGTTCTTCTCATGTTTAGACTGGGCCTGTGGATTTTGGATGAAGACGCCAAAGCGAAGCGCTGTTCTCACCACACTATCCAGGACACACCCCACCAGCGTGACTTCTCTATCGTGACACAGGCTTTGAGCACCTGGCTGAGGTAAGGCTTGTCAGGTTTGCTGACTGCAAAGTTTCTCTTTTTCCTCCATTTCTACCCTGTGCTCTTTGGAAGAAAATTGCTATAAGCAGTGCACATTGAAGGTGTGGGCAGTTATGCCACACCTCTTCGAGGGGGTAGGATTGACAATAATTGTTTGGAAATGTCCCAGGCAGAAGATATGTCTCTTCTCCTCCATTTGTGCATTCGGTCAGTTCTTTCTGTCAGCATAACCTCATGGATAGTTTTTCATAATTTGGATTTTATTTCAATAATGTATTCTTTAATTTATTGTTTTAAATTATTTCAGCCTTGGCCACTGGGAGCTCTTTCTGTTAGTGTCTGTGTCCTTTTGACTAATTCCCATCATTTTATGTGTGGTAGTTTGTTTCTCTTTTTTCTTTTTTTTTAAACACTTCTTTACTTTCTGGAACTGTTGAGCCTGTGCCATGCTTATTTTGTATATTTCCTGCCTCCACATCAGCCACATCTCCAGTGAGCTCTGGTGCTTTTTTCTTTTTTTGTTTTCAAAAGAATGATGCTAGCCGGGCGCGGTGGCTCACGCCTGTAATCCTAGCACTCTGGGAGGCTGAGGCGGGCGAATTGCTCGAGGTCAGGAGTTCGAAACCAGCCTGAGCAAGAGCGAGACCCTGTTTCTACTATAAATAGAAAGAAATTAATTGGCCAACTAATATATATATAAAATTAGCCGGGCATGGTGGCGCATGCCTGTAGTCCCAGCTACTCGGGAGGCTGAGGCAGTAGGATCGCTTGAGCCCAGGAGTTTGAGGTTGCTGTGAGCTAGGCTGACGCCATGGCACTCACTTTAGCCTGGGCAACAAGCGAGACTCTGTCTCAAAAAAAAAAAAAAAAAAAAAGAATGATGTTAGATTTTTCCTAGGTAACATGGCTCTCAGGCCCTCTCAGCAACCAGAACTGGGACAGATATACACTGCAATAACCTGTGTGTACAGAAACATCTACAGTTATTTCTATGTCCAGCCATCATTATCTCTATTAAGCCAAATACAAGTTCACACTAATGTCTCCAACTCTGATCAGACCGTATGGTTCATTCTGTCCTCCCAATCCTTCCCCTGGGGCTGGTCTGTAATCTTCCACTGCAACAGTGAGGAACATGTCCCCACACCCATCATGCACTTTTTTTACATTGTTTTTCATTTTCTTTTTTATTATTATTATTTCAGCATAATATGTGGGTACAAATGTTAAGGTTACGTACATTGTTCTTGCCTTCCCTCCCCCCTTGAGTCAGAGCTTCAAGCGTGTCCATCCCCCTGACAATGCACATTGCACTTATAATGTATGTACATATATACCCATCCCTTCCTCCCTCCTCCCACCTGCCCAACACCTGATAAATGTTTTTTTTTTCAACATTTTGGTTAGATTTTATAACCAAAATGCCTTTACCTACCAAGGGTTAGAGGTACATCCTTCCCATTCTCAGTGTTTGCTGCATCCCTCAGATGTGGGACTACCTCCCAATCCCCAAATCCCTGGTGAACACCACCACCCTTTGAGCACCATAGTGTTAATCAGTCAGTACCAATTTAATGCTGCTGAGTACATGTGGAGCCCATTTTTCTGATCTTGTGTCACCTCACTTTGGATAATGGGCTTAAGCTCAATCCAGGATAATATAAGCGGCGCTAGCTCGCTGTCGTTTCTTAGAATTGAGTAATATTCCATTGTGACCATATACCAAATTTTATTTGTTCAATCCCAGTAGACATATAGAGCAGTCATAGAGCTGTTAACATATTCCCATGAGAAACAGCTTTACCAACTAGGACACAGTGCTTATGTTTCAGACCCTTTGGTCTTTGCTGTTATAGTTTCCAGTTATTTCCAACACTATTTAAGTAAGCACCACTTTTTCCCCAACCCCTTCATAGAGGGCATGTCATACATTTATAATACTTTTTAATGCAGTTAGAATCTTTTGTCACCGTCTGCATTATATCCTGGGATCACTTGTACTCCTAGGTTCTTTACTTTTTAAATTTCCATTCATCAAAGTTTACTTTTATGCTGTAAAGTTTCATGGGTTTTGTGAAATTCCTAGTACTGTATGTATACCCATCATACAGTGTCAATCACAATAGTTTCAAGGCTCTACAAAATCATCTGTGCTTTACCTATTCAACTCTCTTACCTCCATATGCCTCAACAACCACTGACTTGTTTTCCATCTCTGTAGTTTCATCCTTTCTAGAATGTCATATAAATGGAAACATACAGTGGATAGCCTTCTCAAATTGTCTTCTTTCACTTAGTGTTATGCATTTAAGATTTTTCCATGTTTCCTGTGGTTTAATAGCTCATGTATTTTTATTGCTGAATAATATTCCTTTATACAGATTTATTACAGTTTGTTTATTCATTCACCTATGGAATCACATTCAATTCATTTTCCTAAGAAGATATTCATTGCTTCTGGTTTAAAGTGATTATATGTAAAGTAGCTATCACTATTTTAATACACATACTTGTAAGCATATTAATTTTCCAATTGATTGGGTAAATACCCATTGGTGTTATTATTGGATTAAATGGTAAGACTTTTTAGCTTCTAGAGAAACTGCAAGACTATCTTCCAAAGTGGTTGTGTAAGCGCACCACGTTAATCTGACTCAATTTGTATTTAACAAAGTTGTGAGTTGTTTTTCAGTTGCCAGTTGATTTTCAGCACAATGCATGAAAGAAATGTGACTCCCTGGGTTGAAAGTCACATAACCAGAGCTTGCCCAGATGAACTAAGCATGCAACCACAGATGGAATCCAAGTGCAGGAACTGAATTAAGAAGTATAACCAGATGCAAGGATCCAGGATCCAATCAGATCAAGGCCTAGCATCATCACTACCCCGCATGGTCCAGTCAGAGCACACCTCCTGACAACACCCTATTGTAGGATCAGGTCAGATGACACCTCATTAACCTATGCTTATAAAACCCAACCCAGCCCCCAGCTCTGGGAGACAGATTTGAGCATTTTGTCCTGTCTCCTTGCGGGTTGACTTGCAATAAAGCTTTTCTTTTCTCAAAGGCCAGTGCTGTGGTATTGGCTTCTATGCACAGCAGGCAGCGAGCCCATTGATTGTTTGGTAACAATTGGACCATTCTGCATTACCACAAGCAATGAGTAAGAGTTCTTGTTCATCCACATCCTTGCTAGCAATTGGTACTGTTACTTTTTTTTAATTTAGTAATTCTATAGATTGGTATTGGCATCTCAATGCTCTTTTAATTTGAATCTCTCTAGTAACATTTTAATTTGCATTTCCTTAATGACAAATGATATGGAATATCTTTTCATATGCTTATTTGCCACCTATAAGTCTTGCTGGGGGAGGTAAACATTCAGATCTTTTAAGTTATTTTTAATAAAATTGATTGTTTTCTTATTGTGTATTAAAAGCTCTTTTTATATTTTGAACTCATGTCTTTTATCAGACATGTAATTTACAAATATCTTCTTATAGCCAGTGACTCATCTTCTAGTCCATTAACAGTGTCTTTCTCAGTGCAAAACTTTTATTTTAATGAAGTCCATTAAAATATCAATTAAAATTATCAATTTTTTCCCTTTCATGAACTGTGCTTTTAGTGTTATAGCTAAAACCTCATCAGCAAAATCAAGATAACCTAGATTTTTCTCCTATATTTTTTTCTGGGTTGTATAGCTTTGTATTTTATATTTAAATATAAAGTCCATTTTGAGTTATTAAAGTCTAGGTCAAAGTTCATTCTTGTGCATATGGACATCTAATTGTTCAACACCATTTGTTGAAAAGATTATCTTTTCTTCATTGAATTGCCTTTTTGCTTTTGTCAAAAATCAGATGACTAGATTTGTATTTGTTTCTGGGTCTCTATTGTGTTTCATGGACCATTGTATCTATTCTTTAGGTAATACATATATTTTTTATATGTGTGTTTATGTTTGTGTGTAAGAATAGGGATTGCTAAAAAATCTTTTTTTTTTTTTTTGTAGTTCAAATCGAACTGTAGAATCATGGACTATAATTCAATATAGAGTATAATACTGTAAAGTTTTTCTCTTCACTAACCGCTGACATTTGAGATAAATACAAGCTGTTTCCTAGGGCCAAACTGTGCATTGAGCAAGCTATACAGTAGTTTAAAAAGCAAAACTATAGAACTATTGCTTTTGTTTTATAGAAAGGATATGTTGTGAAATGACTGCTTCAAATAACACCTTTGAAAATACAAAAGTTTCCTTGGTAAATTTAGGGAAGAATTTTAAGGCAAGAACACAATGTGGTAGGAAATGAAGATAGAAGATGTCATTCAGTTAGCTGAATCTACATGAGATTCTCTGTTGGTGCTGAAGCTGTTCAGGTTTTAAGGGAGATAGAGCATGATATTTAAGGGAGATAGAGCATGATAAAGACCTTACCGTTAGAATTGTAAGTCTTTGCAAGGCTTGGCTGAGGGCAGGATCCCAGCGCCGCCCGTCTGTCCTGTGTGTGGCCCAGCCTGAGGACGGGGAGCCGGTGCTGCAGGCCCGAGCCTGGGCCGCTGGCAGTGGCTGTGGCCGAGGGCGACGCGAGTGTGAAGCGAGGGCAGTAGTCCACAGCTGGTCCCCAAATGCACAGCCTTTCTTTCGGCGAGGCACATCGTGGGGAATTGAGATCCAAGTCATTCCTGGGTGGTGGCCATCAAACACGCGCAGGATTTCTGTCTTGATGCAGCAAGCCCATAGAAACAGCCCAGAGCAGATGAAGCCTGGGCTTCAGAACAACTGGGCTTTCCCCGTGCTTTTGTTTAATTTTTTATCTACGTATGGAAGGGACACTTAGCCTATAATTAGTGACTCTGATCCAGATCTTCCATGGTTTATAACTAATGTCAAGACACATGCACTCGGGACGCCCCCTTTACTTTTAAATGTGCTCTTATATGGATGAAAAGTCACGTGGGTGGCTGTACCTCCAACATTTTCACCTGACTGGGTCTTCCAAATGTCATTTTTAAACGCTTTTCTAGACCTGGAGTGAATGGAAAAAAAAGATGAAGAAAAAATGATTTTGGTTTGTTTCTTTTGTGATCGTCCTTTAGCCATTGATGTATGCATTCATGTAAAAGCATGTATTCACTATACAGGACATCATTGGGTCTATGGTGTGAGAAGATCATTCTGCACTGAGCGTGATGCAGCGCTGATCATTGACCGAGCACCACAGTGTCAGCATTTAAAGTCACTGCTAACGAATATCTCTATAAAGTGCTATATTAAAGCAGAAGGAAAAAATGCACAGAGAGCAGATGCTGAAGACCAGGCGCTCAAGTACTTCAGGGCACTCTGGTAGTCACTGAGTATGCTACATCCACTGTAGCATATTTTTCCACAGGTGGATTTCCATGAAGAGTTTATGAGTTCGTTAACCTATATCCATGTTCTATGTAAATAAAAAAATATACATTCAAGGTCTACGTTTTGGTCTGGGAAAACACTGACTATCATGAGACCAGCTGCCTTAGCTGTAACGTCTGGTACACCCCAACAAGAGGCAGGGCCTGACACAGCCCTGGGAGGAGTCGGGAACCTGCCTCTCCTCGGCAGGCCTGGCTGCTCCCGATCCACGCCCACGTCCCCACGTCAGGACTCCTTGCTTTCGTTTCTCAGTGGGGACTCTGAAAGTCACTCACGACTGCCAGGCAGGTCTGGTCTGTCGGGATTCTCGAAAGGTCCCAGGACCGGAAGCACTCCACACCTCGACGGGACCTGTCTCTTCAGAGCGCCTGGCTGCGGCGGCCCCTCACAAGCACAGGTCTGGGCACCTGTGGAAGATGCTCAGTAACATTTAAAAAGAAAATTAAAGGGTGAATAAGAGCAGTGACTTTCAGCTGGCTTTTCTGTCAATGGTTGATATAAATAAAACTTTTCCCCCTACAGAACCCATTTCCGAATTGTCAGGCATTTAAATATTCCGAGGTGACTTTGTGACATCTAAAAAATCATACACTATTTGGTGTTGAAAAGTTTCCATTTGTTTTAAGTTTTAGAACCTTAGAACCTTGATATCAATATTGCAAACCATCAAAGGATTTCAAGTAGAATCCTTCAGCTACGATTTCGATTTTGATGTCAGACTTGGGATTCATACATATACACAACTGTTGTGTTGACTGTCCCTCAAGGAAATAAGTTAAATGAATAAAATTTTACTTTTAAGATAAACAATGAACAGGGAAATATCTATTTCTAAGGTAATTTAATCTTTAAGAAACAGTTCTCAAAGTTTTATACTCCAATGGTTGTGTATTTTTGTACTTTGGCTGATTTAAATGATTCGCATTTCTTATGGAGCTATTTGGGGCTTTAAATAGAAATTAGTACATTGATCTCATTTCTCAAAAGCCTTCAAAACTGCAAATACATCAGTACCTGTAAGGTGATATTTTTTTTCTGACAAGTAAATAATACTTTCTTATAGAAATATAAACCAATTCCTCAAAAAATGTGTACTTATTGTTAAAATATGTATAATGTTTAAACTGGTCAGGAAAATCTATGTCAATGTTTGTCACTCTTTTAAAAATATTTTTATAGACCTACTTGGCTATCTTTTTAGTCAATACTTTTTTCAAGGTATTATCTACTTCGATATTGGAATTTATTACCTTTTTGAAATATTGTAAGAAGTTAATGTTCTAGGTGGGATATTAAGAAAATGCTATGGAAATACATCATCGTGTGTACTGAACTTGTTAGTAGGTAGTTACTGCTTTATGCAGTCTTCCAGGTGATTCATTGTGCAACTTTGGAGCTATCAAAATCTTCTTTTGAAAATCATGTGCTATAAAATCACGTGTTATAATGCATGTTAATGTGTATTTGAAAGTGTAAAACAATAAATGCACATTAGTTTTAAATGCAAGAGTATTTCAGAGAGTACTATCCTATGTAAAATATATGCAAATATATGCAAGATGCATTTTAAAACGTTCTTTCTCATGCACAAATCACTGAAGCACTCTTACACCTGGGAAGTTAACAAAAAAGTCATACTCAGCTAATGCACGGAACCAGAAATGAAAATTATCTGTCACATATCTATCTTCTTCTGTTAAGTTGAAATTGTATAGATCTTCATGGTCCAGCAATATATGGAGTAAATTTAACTCTCATATACCACATGTAGTATGCCAAGTAGGTGAATTGATATAGCATACTTGAGAAAACTAGATGACACTATCTGCTAAAGATAGATATGCATGTACTCTGTGATCTAACATAGGAATTCTACTCTTAGGTAAATACACAACAGATACTGGTGCATACGTTTACCAAAAACATGTATAAGAATGTTCACGTTGCACTATTCATAATTTTCAAAAACTTTACAGTGCCCAAATGCCCATCAGCAGTTAAATGATAAATTGAGTTAAGGTATATTCACATAAAGGGACGCAGCAAAGAAAATGATCTACAACTGCAGGCAGCAAACATGAAGAATTTCAAAACGTAACATTCAGCAAAATGTGCCAGGTATAAACAAATGTTTGCAATCAGATTACATAAAATACATAAACAGGCACAATGAATCCATGCTGTGGGGAGCAGGTTGGCGATCACCCGTAGGTAGTGGGATTGTGATGAGAAGGCAATAAGAAGCTTCGCAGATGCTTTTTACCCTGAATTTGAATCTGGCTCTATTACTTACTAGATATTGGCTTGGTGATTAAAACCTCTAAATTAAAACCTCTCTCTGCATCAGTTTCCTCATCTGTAAAGTGGGGATAGTAAAGCACTGCCTCATAAGGTTGTTAGAAACACTGCCTGGTATACAATGAGCGCTATATAATATATGGCAAGCTCTATAAGACAGTTATTTTCTCTAAACAGTTATATTTTCAAAGCCAGTGATAATTGTCAAAGGGGGCATTAGATTTATCCATAATATATTTCAAAAAGATAAAATGTCCATATATTAATTTTAAATTAATATTAATTTTATAATATGACTATTAAGCAAAAGGCAAGCATTGTGCTTTACTTAGATGTGCATGGAAACCTAAGGTTAGGTCTTTTTATACAAAGATAAGCATAAAACAGTCATTTCAATATATAGCAACTCAATCCCAACAAGAATATTACATTGATTGCTGCTAGGGGAGAAAGCTTATTTGCATATTTAAAAATTAAATGATTTGTATGGGACACCTGGACAGAAAAATAAACTTAAAATAAGGTTTCTGATGATACAGTTGGTTGTTTCCCCTCTACTACATTGAGATACTGAATAGACAGGTGGACAATGACCCGACGGTACATGGTAACAGAGCCCAGACCCACGGCTGCCACAGCCGTTGGCCCCGAATGGTGAGAACCTGGCCAGTGACTGACACTTCCCTGTTTCTTTGGTTCTTACTTTCAACTTGGATCCAGATAGAAAAAAACTAAAGATGTTTCCCCAAACCAATCATGTAGCGGGCTCAGCTTCTAGTGTAAGGGAAGAAAAATAATATTTTCTTCAACACTCGTAAGTTCTTAGTTGGAACAGACGCTTGTAACAAAAGACTCATTAACAACAGAAAATAAATGGAAATTTACAAACATTGTCTTAGTAATTTCAGGCTTCTATAATTTATTTTAAAAATAGTTTTTTCTCACAATTTTGAGGCTGGAGGTCTAAGCTGAAGGCGCCCACAGACACGAGGGATGGTGAGGGCTTACTCTGCGTTGACGACGGTGGCTCGTGCAGTGTTCCTGCGTGTGGCAAGGGGCAGGGGCAGCCGGTGCTCCCTCCAACCTCTTTTATAAGAGCCTCAGTCCTCATTCTGAGGGCACCATTTCATGGCTCAGTCACTTCCTACAGGCCCTACCTTTTAACACGATGACACTGGCTGCTGAGTTTCAACACACAGAATGGTGAGGGGACACATTCAAACCACAGCACGTGTGTGCATGGGAGACAGCTAGGGAATGGGTAGTTTTCAAGAGCATAGCTTTAAATTTCAGCTTATATAACATCTTCAGTTACCAAAAGTTTGATACTTGTCCCTGAGGCCACATCAGAATGAGGACAAGTGATTGAGGAAAAGGAAATAGGAGTTTATTAATTTGCCAGCAAATGAGGAGGATGGAAACTCCTGTCTTAAAGTGCCACCATCCTAATCACAAGCAGAAATACAGAACTTTTAAAGGGAGGGTTTTCAGCTTCAAGGTAGTACAGTTGATGGTTCTGATGGATCCTATCTCCTACAAGGACAGTCTCGTGACCTCCACCCCAGACCCCTGCTCAGACAGCTCTGCGGAGCCATCTCCAGTGGAACAAAGAACAAGGGACACTACCCTACTCCTCCCGACCACTCACCTGGGCCACTTGCCTGAGGTGGGGATGCAGGTTTTAACTCCCCAAAGGAATGAGGGAAACCTTATAGAGATAGTTTTGCAAAACATTTTTACCCTTTCTTGTCAGGCTGTTCCCTCAGTTACCTATCCCCCACTGACAATTTTGTCTTTTCATACCTATGAGAGGAGGGGCAACACAGTCATTGAGCTACTTTCTGCTGAATTGGGGCAATGTTTTAGATGGAAGGCTTATACTTATTGTTGTCATTACAAAGCTTTGATAGTAGATTTAAACAGAGTTCCAGGTAGAGAAAAATTCATAAGCAACAACTACAACTGTGAGGACTGACAAGGCAAAACAGACTGTCTCCTTGCATACAATGTCCGATGCAGGGCCGGGCTAGAAAGAAACTCGGGGCCTCTGAGTGCAAAGCTATTAGTCACATCCTGCTGGTGATCCCAGGGACCAACTTCCGCAAATTCAAGCCATAGTCTTTAGCTTTTTCATCCTCATCAGTGTAGTGGGGTTTATATTGATTTGAATCCAGCTGGTGTGTCACAGCCCTGAGGAACAGATCACCTTTAGTGGCCTTCTTTGAGGCCCTGTTGATGGCTTGATTCCCTTCTGCAACATAAGTGTCTCCCTTTTTGGTGACCAGGACAGTGCCTGATGGCCACCTGCTTGGGCTCAGCCACAGCCTATCTCAGGGCCATAATGTCCGTGGCCCTGATATTTACTGTCCTTATTTCCTGCCGTCAGGAGTTCTCTTTCCTTCCAAATGGCACGATGAGCGTGCACGACGATAAAAGCATATTTAGAGTCTGTATAAATGTTTACCTTTCTCCTTTGGGTAACTGAAGAGCTCTGGGTAAAGCAATAAGCTCAGCTTTCTGGGCTGGAGTCCCAGCTGGCAGTGCCCATGCTCCCAGTGCCCTTTGTTCTGTGACCACCACACATCCATCCCTCCGTTGTCCATTGTCCACAAAACTGCTCCCATTAGTGAAAAGGTGACAGCCTCCAGAATCTCTAAACGGTCATGCTGCAGAGGCTCGTTCTCTTCGGCTGGTCAGAGGGTGGCAGGATCGAGAGTAGACGCAGTCTTTAATTTGACCTTGGGATTATCCAAAAGGGTGGCCTGATATTTTCCCAGGCTTCCCGCAGTCAGCTAATAACCCTCTTTCTGTTCTCACAAAGTCAGAATCTGGTGGGTTGCATATACTACAACAGGTTGTCCTAAGGTGAATTTTTCTACCTGTTGCAATAAGTCGCAGGTAGCTGCTACTGGCCAGAGGCACGGAGGCCACCCTCTCGTAGTATTGTCCAGTGGCTTCGACAGGTTTGCCACTGGCCATGGACGTGACCCAGCGTCTGCGCTAAGACTCCAAGGCTCATTCCTTGTTTCTCATGAACACAAAATTTAAATTCCTTCTTCAAGTCAGGTAGCCCCAAAGCAGGAGCAGTCATAAGACTCTGCTTTAGTCC